TGTTCAACTTAAATAATGGTAATAATTCAAATTAATTTTTTATGATTTTGTAGTGTAATCTTCAACGACATCCAGATTGTAACAACTTAAAACAGTGGAAAGGAGGCACTGTTAAAATAGATCCTCTTGCATTAGTACAAGCAATTGAACGTTATTTAATGGTTCGTGGATATGGTAGAATACGAGAGGCTGAATCTATGGTTAGTGACGACGATAACAGTGAAGATGATATAGATGATACATTGGTAATATTTATGTGTATATGTATATGTAATATATACATACATTAATTTAAGTTAATATAATATAATTTTACATTTTTTCAAATTAATAAGTAATAAATAATAATATCTGGAATGTATTTAACATTACAGGCAGCAGTAGTTATAAGCCAAGGATCAGCGAAACATAAACTCCAGTTCTTAATTGGAGATGAAGTACTGCCTTTTAATATGACTGTTTATCAAGCTGTTAGGCAATTTGGTTGTACTGGAATGGATCATTCTGAAGCAGAAGCTGATGGTGAACCACCACTTGGTCATGATGCTGTATGGGTACAGACTCACACAATTTATTACAGGTATTTTTTAATTTTTAATTCTCTTTAATAAAAATAATTTAAATACTTTAAATAATTTAATTTGTTTAGACCTGTACCCGAAGAAGAAACTGCAACGTCGCCAAAACCAGGATCAAGTTCACAGGGTAGTAGCCGCAAAGGCAAAGGAAAAAGTACAAAGATCAGTTCAAAACGAAAAGAGGATAGTTTATGGCTTGAAGGAATAGTCCCTGCACAACGATGTCCTCTTGATCCTTATTTGTTACCCACCTTGCCGTCTTCAGTTACCATTACTGATGCTTCATTGGACGGTTTATGTCTATTACGTCTTTTACACTCGTTAAATCGTCATTGGAGTGTCCTATTTCCTCATCTGAAAGGTTTAAGTTTACTTTCTCCGCAAGATTTTATTAATAATAAAATAGCCGCAAAAGCTAGTCGGCAGCTACAAGATCCTTTAGTGATCATGACTGGAAACTTACCATTGTGGTTACAACAAATTGCTACAGTATGGTAAGTACTATGAAATTCGCAATAATTTATTAACAGCAATGTTGTTCAATTATTATATTTTTAATTGTTTGTAGTCCATTCTTGTTCCCGTTTGAAACGAGACAGTTGTTACTATATGCAACGTCGTTCGATCGAGATAGAGCTCTACAACGTCTTTTAGATTCCGCTCCAGAATTATCGGGATCAGATAGTCAAGAACGTGTCACTCCACGTTTAGAACGAAGAAAGAGAACTATTTCTAGAACTGATATCCTCAAGCAAGCAGAACTAGTTATACAAGACTTAGCATCTAGCAAAGCCTTACTTGAAGTGCAATATGTCAATGAGGTTTGTTTTGTTTTGTACTTATTATATATAGTTTGTTATAGTTTAATATATTTTTGTATATATTAATATATATTTTTATATTATATATATATAGTTTATTTTTTATATTATTTTCATAGTACTTAATAATTCATAGTATTGAACTATTTGTTACCTGTTTTGCAGGTCGGTACTGGTCTTGGTCCAACATTGGAATTTTATGCTCTAGTCTCCCAGGAATTACAGCGTGCTGATCTTGATCTTTGGCATGGTAGTTCAAATCCGACCGAGACAGGATATGTTAATGTTTCGCAAGGACTTTTCCCAATGCCGATTCCATGGAATACTAAAGTTTCCCATCTTGCAAAACTTAAAACGAAATTTAAGTTTCTTGGAAAATTTATGGCAAAAGCGATATACGATTCAAGAATGGTATAATTTATTTTATTGATTAAATTAAGATTTATAACGCTACGATCTAGCTACATTTTTCTTTATGTGATTTTTTTAGCTGGATTTACCATTCAGTTTAACTTTTTATCGCTGGTTATTGGGAGAAGAACATATGTTAACATTAGCCGATTTAATACATGTGTGTCCTGATGTACATCGAACACTTAGTAGATTACAAGAAATTATTAGGCAAAAGGAAACAATTGAGAAAGATCAAATATTAAGGCCACATGAAAAAGCAAAACTGATAGATTCACTAAATCTAGATGGTTGTTTAATCTCTGATCTTGGCCTTGTTTTTGAACTACCGGGTTACGAAAACATCGAATTAAGGAAAAATGGAGGCGAAATACCCGTTTCCATTTATAACCTAGATCAATACATCAAGGTATTTTTATTATAATGATTTGAATATTAAGATGCAATAAACATATTTAGTATCTTTTTTGTATGATTAACTTTATACTATTTAAAATTGATTTTTTAGTTGGTGGTGCATTGGTTCTTGTACGAAGGTATCTTTAGACAAATGGAAGCATTTAGGGAAGGATTTGAATCTGTATTCCCACCGTCACAACTGAGACTATTCTTTCCTGAAGAACTTGAAGCTGTGTTCTGTGGACATGCACAATCAGGTGGACAATGGGATGTGAAAACGCTTTCGGAGTGTTGCAGGACTGATCATGGTTATACACCAGATTCTCGTGCTATCCGTTTTCTATTTGAAGTTATGTCAAAATACAACAGTGAAGAACAAAGGCAGTTCGTTCAATTTGTCACAGGTTCTCCTCGGTTACCAGTTGGAGGTAAGTTTTTATTATTCTATGTAAATATCATAACATGTTTAAAAAGAAAAAAGAAAAAAAATTGAAAAATAAAATATCATTTTACAGGTTTCAAGAGTTTAACACCACCGTTAACGATAGTGCGTAAAACGTTCGACCCATCTATGAAAACGGATGATTTCTTACCATCCGTAATGACTTGTGTTAATTACTTAAAACTGCCTGATTATACAACATTAGAGATAATGCGAGAAAAGTTGCGAATAGCTGCACAAGAAGGACAACATTCGTTCCATCTTTCCTAGAAACGGATGGAAAACCGGCGCGCCATTTGCGATTTTAATATCGCATTATTCACGTTGAAAAAAATTCTTCAAATACCGTTTCAAATATTTAAAGAAATAGCTGCATTTTGTTTAAAACTCGGTGATCATACATTTGCAGCACTTTATATAAGCTTTTTTCGAAGATATCTTTTCTTTGATTTTAGTGAACATTCATTTAAATAAATTTTAATTTGATGTTTATCTTTTTACTTATAAATATAGATTGTGATATATTTTCTCAAAAAAAAAAAAAGTGCGAAGGTGTTAGCTCTACCATATGAATTTTCTCTTGTGGTATTATGAACTGGTAGCGTGGAAGCAGCCTTGTTCTAGAAAACTTATCTTTGATGTGTTACAATAATTAATAAAAAGTTGTAAATATAGTTTAATATGCGCAAGTCTATATAAATACTTTATATAATAGTAACAAAAAAATGATATTGCTACGAAACTCTATACTAATTAAATATAATATAGTCTAAATGGACTTTATTAGATATAAGTAAATTTTATATCAGTGGTGCATTTAGCATCATAATTTCATGCCTGAATGCAAATTACAATGAAATCACGAATCAAGATCAATGAAAGAAAAAAAAATGCCCTAATGATGTAACTCATGTTTCATCATCATAAAAAAAATACAGTAACTGCGAATATAATTACATCTTTACGATTATCGTTTTAATTTTTTAATCGATCTCTTGTGTCCGCTGCTTAGTTTTCAGTATGCGAGCACTGCGCGAATTGACGTGCAACACTCCTATATTTAAGTTTGTATCATTAATTAAACTTATTTTATATTTTTATTCTAGGTAAGATAGTCCAATTAATATTTTACTTAGCTGTGTAAGAATGCAGCCAACCGTAAAATCAAGTCATCATAATGATATATGAATCGAAGAAAATTCTAATATCCACTTATTTACAGGCAAAGTATCTATTTATGAAACATGTACGACAACTGTATAATACGAAATAGAATGGATATAAAAATCAGCGAAGCTGGTGTATCAAATGGATTATACAAGGTACATTACTTTCTTATAACTCTGTAGAAATGTGATTCTATACAAAAATTATGAAAATATGAATTGATCAAGTAGAAAAAAAATATAATAAGCTATTATTTGTTTTACATTTATATTGTGTACCATTGCTTAAAATGATCAATATATATATACATCACTTTTTGATTTTTATTTTTATATACATGAATAATAGGACTTAATCCAGGAGTGGCGAACTTCTTCCCCGCCGCGGGTCGTATGATATCCTACTCCCTCAGTCTACCGATTTCCTTATCAAAAAAATTAGTTGCCACTCTGTGCATTCTTTTCCGTCGCAACGAACCATACAAGCTGCTTTCCCCATCTTTTTCTTTAGCAGCTAAAGCTAAAGTGAAGAGATTGATGCAATGATAGTGATCGCCCTCAAGAAAATAGGAGCACTAGCCATAACCGATCCGCTAAGTTCGCCTCTCCTGATTTAATCAATGAGTTAGTGATTGGTATTACATATAATCGTCGTTTTAGTTTTTGAAATAAAATTGCTTTCAAGTTCTGTTTCAGTCTCGTGATTTTTTTTCTAACATTATAATTATAAAATTTATTTAATCACAATCTGATATTCCTATGCTTCATAATTTTTACATTTATGGTAAAACATGTTATATTTTTACATTACATTTCTAATACAAGTAACGAGTTATAACTGGTTACGTATATATAATACAGAATCATTCATAAAGTATGCAAACTACAATGTAGAAATATAAAATGTACAATAGTATAAAATAATCTCATCTAAACCTCAGTAGTATAAAAAAAATTATGTTTACATCAATTAGTTAGTATATAAACAAGTTTTACTTTTATTTAAATCACATTATATTTCTTTAGTAGTTTTCAATAAATAAAAATACAAATGTTGCTTTACGGCGAAATATTTTTTTTAATCAAAAATATTTCGTAAGTAGCACTCGTAATATTAAAAACGATTTTAATTTATAAAGAAATAATTTATTTCAAAGTAAAATTAATGTTAGTAGTTATTTTCTGTATAAAATAGTTAGAAATTTTGTTTTATTTATATTAATTTCTTCACATATATTATAATATTCTTATGTTTTTTAACATCTTAAATACACATGCTTAACCATCCTACTATGAAACATATTCCACCTATTGGTGTTAGTTTATTATATTTTTTATCGCCAGTAAATGCAGAATAATAACAAGTTCCACAGAACAGTACTATTCCAGAAAGTAGAAACGTCGCAGCCTAAACAATACAATAATAATAAATTTAATAATATACATAACTGATATTAATACTTTAAAAAAGTTAAACATACCAAGTAACGTGCTCTACAAAAAGGTAATCCTAACATAGCTAAAGTATGAATAAAATGATAACGACTTGCAGTTTCAAATACTTGTTTTTGATCTTTTTCTAACAATTCTGAAATTAAATTATTTCATGTATATACTAAATATTATACTGAAAAATATAAATTTTTTTTAAGTATACATATTTTTTAAATATAAATAAAAATATTTCATTAAATTAATTACAACATAAAATTTTTTATGCACTGTAGAATATTATATTTATGTTGTATTAAAAAGATTAACAATTTTTTAAATCTTACTATGAGAACCATAAGCTCCAAGTATTACTGCTGCAGCACCATTCAAAGCAGCGATTTTAACAAATGGACCTGCATTTGCAGCTAACTTCCACAAAGGAGACATTTGTAATTCTGCTTTTGGTGTCAATCCTAATTGCCTTGGTACCTGAAAATAATTTTCTTTGTTTAATAAAATATTTTTTATATAAATATAAAAATTAAGTTGATAATACAAAAATAAGTTTGTATATAAAATGGTAAATATTAAAACGTATAATAATGTATAATATGAATTTCTAATTATATAAGAAAAATTCCATTACATGTTAGTTTTTATTTATTAAAATTATTTTAAAAACAATGTAGTATAAAAATGATGATGTGAAATATTCGAAAAATTTTTATAATAAAAGTACATTATAAATGTTAGAATATCATTAATTTCTTTTATATTTTTATTAAATAATAATTTATAATTTGTGATTTGATTGTTTTAGCTCTGTTAATAATATTTTACTACTTTCTTTATTTGATTGATCCCTCAGATTTTATTCAAATATTAATGTTGAAAAGTACTCTTTAAGAAGGTATATATCATAAAAAAAAGTGTTGTAAGAAATTATAACTACATTTGATTGTAATTGTAAAATATAAAATTTAAGGTTAGATATATAATTCAAATTTAAGTCAGTCCTAATTATAGCTACAAATTAAATCTAAATTTATCAATTAGATCTAAGCAAAATTAAAATTCAATTTTTTTATTAATAAATTACTATAAAAAAATATTACTACGGATTGCGTTAGGTTATATTAGATTTTGAGTTGAATTTAGCTGGTTTTAGGGACACATTTAAATTCAAATTTTATATTTTCTAACAAATTTTCTTACAAATAAAAGCATTTATGATTGCGATACATTCTATTAAGACAATTTTGCCATTATAGATAGCCTCTATCAACATATTGAAATTTGAACAAAATCTATAAAATAATAAAATATTATCATTCTGGCATTAATTTAACGTTCAAACATAATAAAACATTATAAATCTTTATTATTGAACTTACTGTTGCAATTGATGCCCAAATGTATGATGCAGATTGTCCAATTAAACTAACCTGAGCCAAAGGATTGAAATAATACATTATATTTTTACATTTATTAAGACAAGCATACAAATATAATTTATTTCATTTATATCAATATACAATCTATTTATCCAATAATAACTTTGTCAAAATTATTAAAAATGCTAACTTTAAGATACTATTATCTACACTTCATGTAACAAATCGAGTCAGGGGAAGTACACAAATCACGTGATTAAAATTTAGGGAAAACAGGATTGATCTATAATTCTGATATATTATAAAATAAAAAAAAAAACTATTTTTTTCAAATATTAATTTCTGAGGTAGATTGAACATATATTTATGCTTAATTAAATACATCACATTTAACAGGTGAGTTTAAATATGTTTTATAATGAAACGAAACTGTCTAAAAACTATATTTTATTAGTAATTATTACCAATATATTGTGGATACATTTCAAAATCACTAGAAATGAAAGAAAGGAAAAAGGGAAAAAAGAGCATAATTGGTAAAAGTAACATTTTGCAAAAAAAACTAAAAGAAAATTTATATGGGATTGTATTAGGAAAACTGTGCCTACATTTACAATTACAATTTTTTAAATTAATGATACAAATACGTTTAATAGAAATTCATTTTATTGTATCTCATAGTTGTATTAAATACAATATAATTTAGTTATTTTCGAACTAATTCAAATATCGATGAAGATTGATGTGGGAATTGCTGCTTGATTTTTACATTCATGTATGTTTGTGTTTGGAATTTTGAAAAATTGTTGCCCATTACATTGTTGCCACACATTAATCCAGCTGTAAATTGAAAAAAAGATAAATTTAGAAATAATATTTTAATAATTATATATACTAGAAATATATTTGTAAATATATTGTAAAAATAACTCAAATTTTATACCTTCTTGAAACCAATATCAGCAGCATATTCTCTAAAGCATTGTCGACAAATATTTAAACCATATTTGCGAATCAATCCATGTCTATTTGCACAAGCGCGGCTATAAAGTAACAATACGATTACTCATATAAATAAATTATGCTAGTCTGTAAAGTAATGTAACATGATTATTTACATAAATAAATTATAACCTCAATGTGTATCGTGCATAGTATACACATTGAGGTTATAATTGAAAACTGAAGAAAACAGTTTTTCTAATTAAAATAATTTATCTCTTGACCTATAATGACAATATAATAATTCATACTTTTAAATAATTTATACTAAAAACTAAAAGAATATATTTATGTTCTGGAAAACATAACGTTGACACGCGGTGAAATACATTCTTTGTTATTTTGTGATATAAATTTATTTATAGATTTATTTATAGATAATTTATAGACGAAAATATAATAAAATATAGTAATACTGACCAGGATCTAGATCCTTGCCCATATTTTCGTGGATGTGAGTACCAAATATTTTGAAAACCCATTTCTCTTTTTGCAGAAATGCACTTGACGACTTGCGAAGCGAAAAGAAGCGACAGAAATGTTGAAAAATGCGTTTGGGCACAATACTACATTACAATGCTACACTAGCGTACTCTAACTTTTCCCGCCAATATTTAAACAATTTCTCAATATAAACATCTCATAATATTAAAAAAAACTGTTTATTATAATACACTTTTGTATTTATATAGAAAATATATACTATATATATTAATAATAGATAATAGATATACAATTTGGTAATAGAATAATGCCTTGCGAACTCTCGCTATCTACTTTACGTTGAGGCAACTTTCTTTACGCACATAGATCTTGCCTCATTAACTGACCAAATTCGGGAAAGATAATACTATAATTTTAAACTGAAAAACCTTTATTATTGAAAAATAGCTTTTTTTCACGATTTATTTCATTTTAAATTATTTACAAAACATAAAACATTTCAAAAAAACAGAGTACAACACGTATAGAAATTTACGTATAGAAACCGGTTTTAAGAAATTATGCTTTCATTAGGAAGTAGGTGGTATAGCGGAGAAAATTACGGTACTTATCGGACTACGACACAGTGGTGTAAACACAAGTATACTATGTTCTTCTGCTATTGTTAACAAATGATATTAAAATTATATGTTTAACTATGTCTAATAAACAGGTTTGTAAACTTTATTGATAGTTGCATGATTATTTCAATCATTTCAATAAATTGAAATAATCAGCTTAGAAACTTTTACAGAATGCTGATCAACGTACAATATATACTCAAATGATGAATTTAAAACTGAAAACAATTTTCAAGATGTTCTTATATTCTGCAATAGTTCCAATAATTTTATATTGTTTTTTTTTATACTTCTTATATTATCAAGAGAACTTAGTAAATGTACAATTAGGAATGGAAGAAATGGAAGAAAAGAATCCACTATATCGAGTATATGCGAGAAGCAACGACACTGGATATTTAAAACATGTATTTCTCGTATTGGAACGTTTGGGATTTAAACAAACCAACGATGCATTCAATTGGGATTTACTATGGGCGCATGACTATCCATTTAGAACTTTAAGTTCTACCTTAAAGAAATTGAAATCTTATCAGCGCATTAATCATTTTCCCGGTTGCGGATATATCACGAATAAGGTAGACTTATCAACGACGGAAGGCCGCTATATTTTACCAGCATTTAAAATACCAGAACAAAACAACGCATTTTTGCTATATGCTAATCAACATCCCGAGAAGATATTTGTACAAAAGTCGAATGATCATCGTGGTATCAGTATAAAAAACGTGAGCGAAATAAATATTACAGGAACTGGATCTTTTGTACAAGAATTTATACAACGACCATTTCTTGTAGATGGGTACAAATTTGATATTGGTGTATACACTGTGATCACATCCGTCGATCCTCTTAGAGTATATGTGTACAAAGGTGATGTTCTCTTTAGATTTTGTCCTGTGAAATATTATCCATTTGATTCTGAAGTTTTAGACAAGTACGTAGTTGGCGATGATTACTTGCCAATTTGGAATGTTCCATCTTTGAAACACTATTACAGTAAACTGAAATTTTCAATGAAAGATTCGTTTGACGCGTATGTACGTTCGCAAGGAAAAAATCCAAAAAAAGTTTGGAATGGTGTATACGAAGCAATAAGAGAGATTACCTTGTCAAAAGAGAACTATATTAAAGAAGCTGTAAAACATTTTGGAAATGGTAGAAATTTTTTCGAATTGATCAGAATTGATTTTGCTCTTGATGAAGATTTAAATATTTACACCATGGAAGCAAATATGTCTCCAAATTTATCTTCAGCGCATTATCCTCCAAACCAATTACTTTACGAACAAGTCATATTTAATTTATTTTCCTTAGTTGGCATAGGACAAAGAATGAGGAAAAATTCTTTAAAACCAAGGTCTTATTAAATTTTGTATTACAATTAAACTAAAAATTCAAAGTATGCACTGTTACAATTAATATATTTATATTTTTAGGAACAGAATGGAAGAAAAAATGGAAGTAGCTGACAAGAATATAATGGTTTTGCCAGAACTTTGTATAAAATGTAATGATTGTTTTCGTGTAGAATGTCAACTATGTAGTCCTTGTTTTACACCTGAAATTAAACTGATTTTGTCTCAAAGTTACTTAGAACATCAGAATAAAATGGATTTTCAAAGAATCTTTCCACCTTCTATAGTAAGTTTTCTTTTAAATATTCATTTTATTTAATATTAATTAAATTATTATTATTTTCAGACAAAAGATATGATATTAAAAGATTACACATTAAAAAATCAGTTACTTGTCAGATGGTACCAAGGCAAGTGTGAATTAGATCATTCATGGTGTTGACAACTACATATTTTTAGAATTTATTAATTTATATGATGCATGTATATAAAATAACCTACCAACTGTATGATTACTGACATATTATATTTTGTATCAAATCAAAATAGAAACTAAAATTTATTCTTTGATTTATTAGTTAAATAAGAAAATAAAATTGTTAAATTTTCATATTTTTAATATTTATGTTTCTTTCTTTTTACGACTCTTTTTCATTTTTGATTCAGGTGCATTTGGATTTGTACCTTTATAAAATTCTTTTAATAATATCATTGCTTCATTATCTCTGGTACCACCTACTATTTTTGTTCTTGAATTATAAAGTTTTGGTACTTCAAAAACACTAATACATCCACCAAAACGATCATTCCTACAACCATATATAACATTATGTACCTGCAATTGACATAATGCAGACATGCACATTATACATGGTTCTACAGTAACAATAACATCAATATCATAAAAAACACTTTTGTAGTCCAAATTTTTTGTCTTACAAAATTCTAAAACTTGATCTATACAATTGATTTCTGCATGTCGAGTTGCATTGCGAGTTTTATTAACTGTGTTATTACCTACAGCAATGACATTACTGTTGTATACAAATAAACACCCAACTGGAACTTCACCAACTTTTAATGACTCATTTGCCTTTTGTAAAGCAACATCCATCCAACTTAAAATATCCATTGTACTTTTTTTGTGTTCTAATAACTTTAACTTAACAAATTTTTATAAAAATACAAACACACACACACATATACAGTAGATTATAAAATAATAGCTACAGGAATTTGCAAAGTAATATAAATAACATAAATTCTACAGTAAGGTAACATAACTTCTACTGATGAAGAATAAAATTTTTTCTATTTTTCTTGTCAAGGTATTTTAAACTGTAAAACATTCAAGTAATCCAAACTCACTCAACTTTTGTGTTGCTTTCTCACTCCAATTTTTATTATTCACAGCACGTGGACTTGGATGAGGTAAGCATAAAACCTAAAAACATTATAAAGTTAAATATACTTTAAATACTTATTTTAAATAAAATTTTACTGACTACCTTCACAGGTAATTTTGAAGACTGAACTACTAATTGCGCTCGTTTTTCTGCGTATCCGCCAATGCCAATCACAATTTCAACTTTTAAAATACTGATAGTTTTTGCCAAAGCCTTATCACAAGCAGCATGTAATGTTTGTACCTCTGGTGCCTAAGAAAAACAAATAAGAGATTTATATACATAAATATGATTATAAATAATAGATAGGTAATATATAACTGCCTTCAGTTCTGCTGGTGTAATATTGCAGCCTTTTTTATTCATTAACGCAATAGGACAATAGTTATGTATATATGCGTGCTTAAACAATTTTTCAGGACTTTTGCATAATTCTTGAAAGAGACCCCATAATCTTTTCCCACTGACTTCACTACGGGTACATTGAAATCCAGTTACTTTCCTACTTGGTTGTTCTTTGGCTGGTTTTCCAACTGGTCCTGAAATTTTTAACCAATCGCGAACCATATTTATCTCTCCAAATGGAACACCAGTTTGGACCATACCCCAAGGGCCAGGATTCATTCCAAGAAATAATATTTTCTTAACAGTCTTACAATACTTCTCTACGTACATAGTGTGTATATTAAATGCATACTCAAGAGGATTATAAACATATTCTACCGGTGAACGGAATGTAATTTTTCCAACTTCAATAGCCAAATTCTGTTCGAGTGATAACAATTGTTGAGAAACATTTTCAAGTGATACATCACTTGTAATTATACTATCGTTTTCTTTCTCTACATTGTCTTTGTCTTCTAATTTCATTCTTTTGGGATTAATATCTACTAAATCACTATCACGTCTTGCTTTAACTTTCCTAGAACTTGACATTATGATGATTTCTTTAATACAAACTTTGTTATCGTTGTTGTCGTTATAAATCGTTTTTAAAAATTTTGTGACAGAAATCTAACGAGATGAGATCTATTATGAGATCTATTTAATGCATTTTAAAAATGTTTTATACAAATACTCTTACACATAGCACAATAGTCGTTTGAACTTGGACTTTCACAAGGAAGTGACCGTTCATTCATCAGATAGAGAAAGAAAAATATAGTGAAACGAATAACAGGATGAGTAAAAAAGAGAAGAAACATAACTAACAGAACTAACCTTCACTGACTTCTTTTACATTAATATACAATTATAAAATTATTAATTTATTAATGACTGTAAATAATATTGTAATAATGATGGACTTAACAATTGCAAATGTAAATACCAATCGCATTTGACTTTCTACTTTTGAACTTGTTCTTTAATTTTAATCAGTAGTAATGATTGGAGCTTTGTCTCGGCCAATGAACAACCGTAGAATGTATTCTATGAAAATATAAAAACTAGTAGCGTAAAATTACGCATGTTAGCTGTTGATAAATCCGAATAATCGTAATAAGTACAGATTTATTTAGAAAGAAAATGAAATAAAGTGGTACATATGATCGTGTATAGTTTATTATATATGTATGTACATGTTACTTGTTACCATGAGTAATGTCGGTTAATTTTTAACCTTAATCTTAACCTCAACATCGGTTGAGTAACAGCGGTGCAACATGGAAAATCAAAACGGAATGACAGTTAAAAGCAATAATCCTGCTCCCACAGTGGAACAGATAAATGCTGATCGTATAACACAGGTATTTATTTGCTAATCTATTTTATTATATGAATTATACATATTATTTCTTTATTATAAAAAAATATGTTTACACATCTATTTTAATAAACAATAAACAATTACAGCTTGCAAATAAGTATTGGGCGCCGCATACAATGGATTCACATCTTTCATTTAGTTCTCAAATAGTAGAAGATATTTATGTCCAAGAAATATGCGCGTCTAAATTCTCTATTCGAAGAATCATGATGTTAGAATTCAGCCAATACCTAGAAAACTTCCTATGGCCGAATTACAATGCAAAAACTGCAACTCGTGCTCACACCATGTCCATTGTTGTCATGGTTAATGAGAAATTTCGAGAAAGGGTTCAAGTTTGGGAGGCATTTGAAAAAAGCCCTGAACATTTTCCTGAGTTCTTTCAAAACGTTTTGGAAGCATGTCTTGAAGAGAGTATAATGGACTTTGATTTGAAGGAGCAAACAGCATTGATTGTTTTCTTAAATCATTGTTTTAATTCCATGGAAGTATTACTGGTTAGAGAAGAAGTGAAAAGACTTGTGTCATTATCTATGTGGATTTCACTGCAACAAGGTCGTAGAGAATTGGAGTTCAGAAAATATCCAAAGTGGAGAAAGTACTGGAAAGTCATAAGGAAAAAGGATAATCCTCAATACAAAGAGAAGTTAGAATGGGAACGTAAATTTTTACACAAATTGATGATAAAATTTATGACAATATTGGAAACAATATCAGAAGAAGGTAAATTAAAATAAAAATCTAGACTATTTTGTATGGCTCGAAAATATTTTTACAGCATAATATTATAACTTAGTATTTTTCAATAGGACCACTTTTATCAGATAAGGTACGATATTGCGAGAGATTTCTCGAGCTGGTAATAGATTTAGAAGCTCTATTACCAACTAGACGGTTTTTCAATACAGTTATGGACGATTGTCATTTGGTAGTAAGGTGCCAGCTATCCAATTTATTACATCGCCCGGAAGGTGAATTATTTGGCCAGGTGAGTCTTTTTTCTTAAAATTTTTTAATCAAATAGGAAAATGTAATATGTTTAAAAACATATATTTGTTTTATAAAAATGGTACACCATTTACAAAAGTCGTGTTTATACAAATATAAATATTATATTTTAATTAAAAGTAAAAAATTCTTAGAAGTAAAAGATTCCTTAAAACAAAATATTTTTATAAAAAAATGATAGTTGTAATGATAATATTTATGGTTGTCTATATTCATTGCGATAAATTAATTGAATATTTTGTATAGATATGTACAGATAAGTGCACATTTTTGTAAGGCATAAAAAGTTCTCTTTCAAGGCACTTAAAAAATGTTTCAAAATAGCTAAATATACAATTAGTATTGATGAATTTAGATTTGTATGATAAGAGTAATGAAATTATCAACAATGATATGTATGTTATATTTTCCTAAAACGAATAATTTTGTTAATTTTAAGAATTTTTGTAGATATCATTATATACAATGTGTTAACTTGCTATTTATGAGGACATTATATTTTTGCCTTGATAAATCGTGCATTTATTAACATAATCCAATATTCCTTGTCATATATTTGTGATAAAGCATTGTTATAAATGTGCTTCTCACTCAATATGTTCAATCAAATGTGTTCCTCATTTGATATGTTCAGTCAAATGTGCAAAATACAATAAATTAACTTCAATTATCTTGTGAGATTGAATTTCATAGTGAGCTGTACGATTTAATAATTCTTTAATATCCCGCGTTGATAGCAGTCATTTCTTCGCCCCAGTCAAGACCCTCAATGTTTTCCCCTGAATTACAGCAGTTGCACGTTTTACCAAGCAAAAATGTAACTCTTCTCTGTCCAAATACGCAAACATAAAGTATTAGAATCGCTTGCAGTAAATTAATGACGACATGACAGTACTCTAATGTCTTGTAATTCAGTTGCGATAGCAAAAGTGACAGCCAACCGATACTCATTATCGTAAACAAGAAAACAAACATCCTAAAGCTGTATTTCATTTTATGATGAATTCGACCGTATGTGCTCATTCGTTTAATCCTGTTGGCGGTTGTTAGCGCAAAGCATAAGTCGATCATTATTGTAAATGCGATCGACGTAAATAGCACGGAAATGCCTAGCCAACCGATCGTTTCCTGAGGTGGATATATCATTCCGCCAACGACAGGCTTGTTAGTCTCTAAAGCAAAATGTGCAAAAATCGCAGTACCCGCTATGCAAATCGTCGAACCCCAAACGTACGTAGAATAGTAACAATATTTCCTCCCGTCGGTTACTCTTAGAAATACATTTCGCGAACGAAACGTGTTCCACACGTAATAACCCAAGGCATTCAGCCAGAAAAATGCAGCTAACAAGGAGACGTACATGACGGTATCTGAAAAAAGAAAAGGAAAATAGGTATATTTCTATAAGAAACTAAATATTTTTTTCAATTGGAAGTATTTTAAATGCAATTGAAATGTTTGTATTTTTATATTTCATACGTATTTCGTACCGGCAATCATAAAACTGACGTGATTGCCGAATTCCGTAAAGATCCTGACCGTAGACGCAGATTGACCGGCTATAAGGCACAGAGTCATGCTAGTTATCATATTTCCCACAAGATCACGCAGCTGCGGTAGAACGAAATAGACAACCGCGACAACCAGGTAACTGGCTATTGATATTGCGTGGAAGGTAGGATCGATCGCGTGTTTCATCAAATAATTCGTGTCGGACCATTTGACAACCACGTCGGGTACGCAGATCATCGCGTATGTCGCTACCAGTCGATCTCTGCTCAAAATCGCTTTGTCAGCGCAGTAATGTCCGAATGGGTAGTCGTAATGAATAGAAATCGTGTCGAGATCATCCTCGTCCATCGAATCGGCATCGTCGAATTTAAATATACCATTGTACTCCTGGCTTCCCTTCGTCAAGTCGGTGGTGTAGTGCCGTAACACGCCAGTTGTCAATATCGCGAGACGATCCTCGCCGGATCGATAATGATACACGTTCCATTGATGCTCGTTGGATTGACATTTCGGCCTTCCGATCTTCAATTGATAACTCGGTTGTACCGGCCTGTTCCTTGATATACCGTTGACCTTTTCCTCCACAAATTCCGGCTTCCACTCCGTCTCGTTCGTTTCCGTCAATGGCGTGCACGTGTCGTCGACAAGAAGCTCGTTCTGCTCGCAACACTTCGCCACGCTGATTAAACTCGCTCTGTCGTCTGTGCTCGCGGGAAGGGGACAATTTGTCCCCAATGTACCGATAACGATAAGCAACGCACTCGCGAGATAATACATGTCATCGAATCGGCACTGCAGTTCCTACTCTCGTACCTTTGTTTCTCGTGCATTGGTTCCTCTTTGTTCGTTCGTTAGCTAACTTTCAGCCTTTCGGTTTGGCTCTTAAATCGATCTCTTCGAGGGCTGCCTCGATATTACCTGGCCGCGTAGCGTTGTTACTCACTCGTTCGCATCGTAACGCAACGATGACGGACTTCTCGTGTGTTCATCGCCATACCTGACAATGCCGCCCGCGGTGGTTACCCGCCTAGCGAGATCTACCCCTGCCATACCCGCCGCCATCGCGTCGCATCCATTCCCATTCTCTCGCACTACCTCTCTCTCTCTCTCTCTCTCTCTCTCCTTCGTTCGTTTGCTCGCACGCTGGCTTGCTTACTCTCTTTTTCTCTTTCTCCCTTCCCCGTGGCTGTCTCATCTCGCTCTCCCCTTCCCTCTCCCCGCTACTCATCTTTACCTTTCTCGTTCACTTTGCACTTTGGCTTCGCTGTCTCCTCTCATATTTTACTCGTATTTTCGCGTTAATTCAATTTGTGCGACGGTTCTCTGATTACTGACTCCACGCCCCAGCACACGCGCGTAATATAGTCGTTCGTAACGCGCCTATCCACATTCATGCAATCGTGCACAATTAGTTGACGCTTTGCTATTTAGTAACTCGCGATTCTTTCAACGATTCCTACATGAGATGAGGCTCGACTATTCGATATATATATCGTGTGAACCGAGCATACGTAATAATTGCAATGTTTACGAGTGTCACACGAGATCTAGACTTGTGCTTCACGCACACGTGTCTCAGCTATATTGCACAATCGTTCCGTCCTTGAAACTATCAAGCATTTCTTAGTTTTGTATTTTAGTTTTTGATTGGTTCAAGTCTCGTTTACAGGGAGTTGCAGTCGAAAATTTGTAAAATTTTAGGTTTTTATCATTTAGCATCGCAAAGAAGCGGTCAACTAAAGGAGATATGTTTTTTTTTTTATTTCGATCGATTCAATTTATGTACAAGCGAGATTGAAACAAGAAATTTTCTTCGACGTGAGCAATTGATCACATGCCACATATCATCACAATAATGTGTTTATTCGATGATAACGATATAACTTGCTTTATCATTTAACACGTTTATTTTTTACGAAGCAATTTATCACACTTGTTCAATGTACAAGCTGTAAAACGAGTTTAAAAAAAAAAAAAATTGAAAGCGGACAATGCTCACTCGAGTTAGACTCTAAACTATTCTATTGTATTGTACCCTACATAAATTAAGGAATAAAAAAAGTATTCTAAAGTTGCCCGTAATCCGAACTTAAAGTTCAAAGAATCGTCTTGTGCTATCGCTGAGGCATAAAAAAACTCACATTTCTTTCTCGTTGGAGCACCTTTGCTTTACTAAAATATTGATCTGTTCGCGTGCAAAACGTCATATTGTATGTGTGTGCGTTTGTGTGTCACGCAATGCAAATGCAATTCTTATCTTGGCATCGTCGATAGTAGAGCATTACTCATAGTAATGTGGGTAACCACTCAATATACCTCGTTGTTCTTTTGCACCATCCTCGTTTATCGCGTCTTCGCACAACAGACTACTTGATTACTCGCGCACATTGCTTTGTTTAATCATCCTAATAGTTTCACGCAACGAAGAATACGATCGTTTCAATGCGGCGCAGCGCAACGATGATCTAGTTTCTACACTGTATCATTTCACACACCGTAGATTTCTCTCTGATCTTTTTTTCTTTGTTAAAAAATAAATTTTTGTTTTTCTTTTGAAAATTCGATTGGCGCAACGACTTTTACTTTTGTGCGAAATGGATTTAATTTTTAATTCTACGTAAATATAGAAAAAAATATGGAATTCGTGCAAATTAATATTAAAATTGGCAAGATTTTTCATGCCAGTGGCGCTTAATTTATACTTAATTGACTTCTTCGTTCCTATTAATTCTCTTTTTCCTTACGTTTATTTTAACTAGAAGATACTTCGATTTTGTTCGCTAAGATGCTGAAAGATATCCTGCCAGTTCCAAATAAGGGGAAGACGAATAATAAATATCTCTAATGTTCCGATATACGTGGTTCTAACGTTCACGATGCGATATCAAGTAACAAGTTTTTAATGGCTTAAAGACGTCAGAAGTACACGTAATTTAAAGTGAATCGTCATCTCGGAAGTGCCGCGTCAGTCGACTAGAATAAGAAAGTTTGATACCGAACGTTCTCCGGGAGGATATTAAGGATTTTATCCTCAATGGACAAAATCCTTAATATAAAAATTACCATGATGAATTGTTAGGTGTTTTTTCACGCAAGCGAAAACGTGACGTGCAATGCCGATGAGTTCCTTTAGCTAATCTACAGATCGGTAAAAATCGCAATCAATCGGTAGTATAGTAATTACGACGTTGCAATTAACGCGATACCTGTTCGCTGACAAGACAACATTTCTAGAGATTCTTAATCAATTATAAACGTATATCTCACGCATTCGTTATAGAGTATTAAATTCTACGCGGTTTTTGTACGATTCTGTTGCTTAAATATAGGAATAATAATTCTTTGTCTCGTTGTCATTACCCGCGATTACCTTCGACTAATCGAACGTGTATAGATACATGATAAGAAATTATACGTCCCATTACGTCTGGTATTAACCACAATGGAGAGGAGGGGGAAGAAAAGAATTGTTCTCGTAAACACACTAGTCATGTTGCGATAATTCGACTTCTTCGGGTAGCACCTCCTCGCACTCTTCGTCCTCGTAGACCGTCCAAGACTTTGGGAAGTTAATTCCACAAGGTTTCTTCTTCGCCAGCAGCTTCCTGACTCGCTTTCGCATCGCGACTAACAGAAGGAATATTATGAAACCTTGCAGCGCGTTCAGTATGTCCATCGGCATCCTAAATTGCAGTCGAAAGTCAAAATTATGTAATCGAGCGTTGATGCGTTGACTGGTAATTTTTAGCAATTAAAAGCTGAAAGTGAACAACCTCGACGGTTGTGATTCACATTTCGTTTCGGGGGAGGGAGACAGATGGAAATTACCAGAAATCGTGTTTGGTATGATCGGCATACGAGAGCACCTCGAAGATCCATGTCACCCCCATGACGAATATCAGTTTGACGTAAAGCAGGCATTTAAAACGTAGCGCTCGTAATTTGCTTCCGTTGTAGTCGCGATACTGATGCCACAATCGCCAGCCAGTTAAACCAAGGTAGATAACGTTCAACGCCAATAAAATAGCGATTGGCCCGTAAAAATACGCCCACGTTTGATCGTGGCCTGTAACAACATAGACGACAAGTCGTTAAACAGGACAACGACAAATGTCATTAAAGGATCGTTAAGCTTTTTAAAAATACCGCTGAACCAACAGCTTTGCTCTCCGAAACCGGGCTTCAGGTGTTCCCCATTTGCGTGGTGAGTGACCAGTGTCGCAATCAGGAAGCACAACGGTCCACCCCAACCGATAATAGAGTAGACGATGAAAAGTGACTTATCTTTAATTATGAAATCTTGAAACCTTCGAAAGATAACGAACAATCAATACGAATATGAATGGGGCTCGTCGGCGGCTTTAGGCGTTAGGTTTTATTGACTTACCAAACTGTTCTCCACACGTTGAACGAGACGATGTTTAGCCAGAAGAAAACAGACATAAAGCCGAGATATAAAACGAATCCTGGAAGAATAAACGAACGATTAATTTCGAAGATCCCGTGGCGTAAGCGTGAATACAAACAAAATCACGTTCGCTAGCATCTCCAGTACCTAGAAAGACGCATATGTGATAGTCTTCCTCGTTTGATGGCCTCAAAATCTGAATGGAAAGGATGATGTAACTGACTGCCAATGACGTGACTACGGCCATCATCGCTTTATCTTGAACCTCCCTTAATTCTGGCAGTAAAATGTAGATAGCCAGCGTGGCGATCAAGAATATAGCCGATATGATACTGAGGGCGCAGAACAATATGTTCTTCCACGTACCATTGTACGCGCTGTATTCATCGAAGCATAACAGAGCGACTTGCGAACCCGTTTCCCGCTTTGCCACGCAAAATCTGTCAGCAGGTCAACATATTTGCATTCTTTTTTTTTTTTATATTCCAAAGCTAGGATAGAAGATAAAATTTCTCAATGGAGAACATTATATATATATATATATATATATATATATATATATAAAATGTAATTATAAATATATATAATATAATTATAAAGTATAACTATAAGTATAATTATAATTATAATATAATTATAAAGTATAATTATAATCATAAGTATAATTATAAGTAACTTTAAAAGTATAATTATAAATATATAAAATATATATATATATATTTTTCCACGAGATTTATATTTAGGTACGATTTACATTTATCGTTTGATTTCATTCTGCGTGTTTCACGTGATAAGCATCCTCGGTTTGAAGCGTTTAAAATTTCGTAGCAGTTCAAAATTTAAACACAAAATTTTAAAATTTAAATGAACGGATACACGTCACGGTCCTCTGCGATTCAACGAAAATTCCAGTTGAGTAATTAGAAAGTACATTGGGAATAATGTCGTTTACCTATCCGCCGTTATATTTATGGGATTCGTGTCCGACAGTTGTAGCCATGTTTTCTCGTGTTCCTGCATCACGAGGAATTTGTCCTCGGGGTCTACCTCGGGGTCGATCAGATACCAACCGGACGAGCATGTGAGCTTAATCGAACTACCATCGGAACAGTTCAGCGTGGTCAACCATATAAAACCATCCGAACAGCAGTTGATGTCGGTCGATGCCTGGCTCCGTGAGATCGTCAACGTTAGTAGACCGATCCATAGCAGACCTAAAAAAAAAAAAGAAAAAGGGAACAATTTGTTCCTCGATCACCTTCGATTGTGAAATTTCCCTTGTTCGTAGAATTATTTTGATTGCACGTTTGATTTGCACGGGAAATTCTTCCGAAACGTTTCTTTTTTTTTTTTTTTTTTTTCTTTTTTTTCGCGGGAATCTCTCCATCGTACGATTTCTGTGTACATAAATAACGATTAAAGATACGTTTGTGTATCCGAATAAGGTTCGTTTACTTCGAAATCGTGACGAGTAACATATATTTTGTACCGATAAAACAACTTGTGAAGGCGCGCGCGCGTGTGTGCGTGTGTATCGTCACGATATATTATCACAGCGATTTCCAATATCTTTATCTTCCCTTGCGATAGACATCGTATTAGAAAGCTTGTTGATCTAGTAGCTGAACGATACGATGAAAACGACGATTCAGAATGAAAGTATCGAGCAGATAGATAAACCATGAAAAGGAACAAGAAGAGAGATACTTAACAATGTTTAATCTCAATATCCTTCGTGCTCGTCGTTTGCCCTGGCCATGCGAGGAGAACACAAATAATACATTTAGCAAAAACAATTAGCTCTTTGTTCTCGATAAGAGCTAATTGTAGATGTATCGTAGAAAAATGTCTCCCTCCCCCCGCCCCGTTATTGGCAATTGAATGTTGGCGTACTCGAAAAGCACGTTCGATCTCGCGACGAGAGGGAACGAAATAGTCTCGCGTTTAAAGAAACGCGATTCGGTTGTAGTAACCTAGTTCAGTGTGCAGCTGTGTGTACACGTATGCAGTATGAAACGATTGCATTGAGAAGAAGAAGGGATGCTTATGCCTCTGTTAGCGAGAATGTTCTTTATGCCTCTCTTCTTGCCTTCCTCAATGCCTCTGCTCACACGAACACCATTGCGCTCTTTTTTTTTTTTTTTTTTGTTTTTCTTCTTCATTGAGTCGCGAGCCACGTGCAGCACGCGTATTCTCTTATTTTTTTCCCCCCCCGATTATCGCGACATTAACACGGCTAATTCGATTCACATTCGCGATTCGCTCCCGTAATGGAGCATTGTCTCTGTCATTGTTCGTTGTGACTCTGCGACATGTGTGTATTTCGTTTAAACGTATGCACAATCTCGTTGATGGTTACAGAATGCGTATTTCGTATTTCGTTTCGTGTCGCTCGGTAATAATTATCTGAGGGAAAGTGACTCGAAAATTTCGTCAAACGCGAGTGATGAAATTATGAGTCGTTGATTTCGTATTTTTAGAATTTCTTACTTAGCGATAAGAAGGAACATACATGTAATTTTAAAGGAACATATATTGCATTTTGCAGATTTCAGTAACGAAAGTTTGTAAGACAAAACGTTTCAATCGTTTATTCGCGATTAGTGTTATTACACGCCATACACAAGCATATCTATGATTTGCTGCTCCTAGATTCTTTTGTATGCTTTTGTATCAGTTGCTTTAATCGCGATCGATGAAAGAAAAAAAATGTGACAGTAAACACGTAAACATCGTTTTCCTCCTCGAGATTTCCCGCGTGATGCAACGCGTATTTCTTGCAAACGCAAAATTTCACGCTCGTTTCTCGAACCGTGGGTGGCCGTTCCGTCTAATAATCTATTAGAAATTCCCGAAGGCAGGTGTGAACAGAAATTCTCGACATGTTGCATGTCGAATGTTCGTTACAGCAAAAAAATTAACGTGAGTTTTATGAGGTTCGATTATTTACCATAACTGAATCATTAACTAGTGCTCGTGGAACAATACATTTCGCAACGATGTCGCTACTTCTCCTCGATGATTCGACGAAATTTCAAAATGAACTACAAACTAAGAGTTCGACGTTATTAATATTAAATGCAACTGAAACCATCATATCTATTTGGATAAGAAGAGACAAATAAAGAATAAAGAGATATCGTACCTTTGACTGGCAACGTGCCCGGACGCCTGTTGTAGCTCACGTTTAACAACATCATCTCCCCAATTTTTATTACTTCATTTCTTCATCCACTGCGAAACGAAACTTGTTTTCGCGAAATTCACCGAGTCTCAGCCAGTAGTCTGGTCCAATCCCATCGAATCGCGTGCACTTGATGATCGTCGCTGTTGAAGATGTTCAAAGTACAGATTTTCTCCCTCTCTCTCTCTCTCTCTCTCTCTTGTTTTTTTTTTTTTTTTTTTTTTAGAGAGGAGAGA